AATTAAACAATCAATCGATCAATTGAACGTTTGAATTTTGACACATATCCCCTCCCATAACCTGCGGGCCCGCGGCGAAAATATACCTGACGTTATCGCTAGATATTTCTTTTGACAGACATTCGCCGCGTTTATACTTTTTTTCATGAGCGCTTTACGCTGCGGGGTGCAGCGGATTGCATTAGCGGTTAAATTCTCTGCTATCGCTCGTGTGACACATAGTATAACGCCGTAAACGCAGCTTGCAGAACCTCGAGACCTATTACTCAGCTCCTGCGACTTTCCGCATTGTGCGCCACGCGGCGGTAAACAAAGGAAACTCCATTAGAGTTCAGCTATTAGACGCAAATATAGTGCTTATCGCTGCACAGGTGAACGATGCCCTGAAAGAAAGCTGTCTCGCTAATAATTCTCGCGCAAGGCCATGAAAGACTGATATATTTGAACGTAGCGTTGCGTAAATGATCGGTGTGAGAGCGTCGCGGTGTGCTCAACTTAATTGTTTAATCACCGTGCTGATGTTGTTTTTCTCTTTCTTCGCTCTATTTAGGATTACGAGTTTCTGGACATGGAATTGAAATACGGCATCTTGCAAGTAAGTATTCGCGTTTTATTCCCTCCAGCTTAGCTCTAGAGACGCGGCGCGTGGCCAGATATTTTAAACATTTGTCCGACTTGGCCTGGCGATTTCATTAGACCGCTGATCCTTCTTGATTGAGATCGGTGAAATATCGATAAAAGCACCGACGATTAATGAGGGAGAGGCGTGTCCTCTATCTCTCTGCTTCACGATGAAATGTTACCGCAGGAAATCTAGCGATCCAGCTGCGTTTGGCACGAAAAAATGAACCGCAATGACACAGACGCCTCCGTGTCGTGAACAATTGATTAAGCCACGGCCGTCAAACATTTACATAGCGTCGTTGTTTTGGTGCGCTCGCATTGTATTCTCGCTTCACTAATGCTAACAATTCATCCGCGCAGCGCATTTGTAAGCGAGGCCATGTTAATTATCGTGAACGGTCTGTCAGGGTTTAATGTTTATGTTCTAAAGCAGAACACCAAACAAGATGGATTCAACTGTATACCTGCTGTTGAACTACGGTGCGGTTTCCATTCAGGGTAAACCGACTAAGCTCTCCGACTGCTACACATCGTAGGAGTACAACGTAGTGTCCTCTCGCCAACGTAGTGTTAAGGGAGAAGGGAACTTGTGGCTACATTCGAGATAGCTGTCTGTCGCCATACGCCTCGGCTATGAGTTATTATTAGTTTTAGCATCGTAAAGGCCACGGCTTGCCCATAAAGTGCGAATGGTTATAGTGAGGAAGTATAAACGAAACACACGATATTAGAACTAGATCGTTAAGTGTAAGTTTCTTTGCCGGCACGTTACACGCTATAGTTAAAGCACTGATAAAATGTCGAATAATTTGCAACCGCTGATTTCCGCTGGGTTTTCGGACAATGCGATGCGCTCTCGCTCGCGGCACAAGATTCTATTGCCACCAAACGTTTACCGGCGGAAGCGAATACGATCCGAAAAAACGATTTGTTTTAGCTTTTAGGTTAGTGATAGGGTTATGTTATGGTTGGGGTCAGCGTTATATTAGGATTACAACTGAGGCAGTGATAATGTAGACGTATGGTTGTGGTTAGATTATGGTTAGGGTCGGAGCTAGTGTTAGAGTTAGTGTTACTGATAAGGTTATGGTTCGGGTTGGGGTCGTGGTTAGGGGTTGAGCTAAGGTCAGGATCTGGATTAGTGTCAGGTTTAGGAACAGAGTTAGGGTTTGACTTCGTGTTAGAAATAGCGTAAAGTTTCGTGACTAGTCTTAGGCTTAGTGTTGGTGTTAGGGTTAAGATGGAATGTGAATATGCATTTTTTCAGTACACACATAAATTTTTGAGTAGATGTCAGATAGTGACATATGTCCCTTCATAGATGTACGCAACGGGTTGCAACATCGTTTGATTAAATGCTGGTATTATATGTTTGTGCTTTTAGTAGAGACGACATTTTCCCTAGAGATATGTAAAAATAGCGTTCACATAATGGTACTCTTCATCAAATATGATTACTAGGCGCTTCCTATCTGTTTTTCGATGAACCATTTATTTAGCGCCCCTGGGGGCCCATATCGGAACTGCTTACTCTTTTTTCTATATACTAGCAGACTTTAATACCCGCACAACCACCAAATTGTGCCTTAAAATATAAACTTCATGTAAGTGACACAGTTGAAGTTAAATATTTCATGCAACTGAAAGGTGGCCTAATCGCTGCCATTACGGCCGACAATGCCATATGCTTAGGCCATTAGACACAATTGCAGGAGGGTGGCAGTGCGCGAGAGCCGGGAGGGTAAGGGAACGAGAAGTGCTACCGAGAAGTGGCTAGAGTCAATTATGGGAGGGGGAGGAGAAGGGAGAACGGTGGGTGGAAAGGCCAGGAGGGAGAGAAGGGAGGACGGAACGGATGGTGGAGAAAGGAGGAGGGGACGAACGCTGGGTGGAGAGGAGGAGGAGGCGGAGAAGGTCAGGAATGGTGGTGGCAGGAGGGGGGGAGAGCTGGTGCGAGAAGGCATGGAGGGGAGAGCTGGTGTGAGAAGAGGATAGGGAGAAGGAGGGGGAGAAGGGAAGCGTTGGTGAGTGAGAGAGAGGGGGAAAGAAGGGAGAAGCTGGTGCGAGGAAAGAAGAGGGGGAGAAAGTGGTGTTGGGAGGGAAGAAAGAAGAGAGCGGTGTGTGCAGCAAGGAGGAGGACGTGAAGCTAGGTGTAGAGAAGGGAGGAACAGGGTACATGGCTCGAAAAGGTGTGCGTGGCACGCATGAGGGGGAGAGCTGGTGGGAAAAAAGGAGGAGGGAGAAGCTTTAGGTGCTGAGAAGGGGGAAGGAGAGAAGGAAGGAGAGAGAAGGGAGCTGGTGGAGGAGGATCGGGGGAGAAGGGAAAGGGCCATAAGTTAATGGGGGAGAAGGGAAGGCTGGTCGGTTTAGGAGGGGAGAAGGGAGCAAGGTTGTGGGGAGGCCGGGGAGAAGTAGGTGGAGAAGGAGGACATGCGGAGCAGGAGAAAGTGTGGAAGAAGAGGAAGGGGAGGCTGGTGGTAGAAGGGAAGCGGGAGGAAAGCTGTTGGAGAAGGAGGGAAACGGAGAAGGATGGGGAGAAAACTGGTGGGGGAGGAGGAGGGGAGAGAATTATTGGCATGGTGTGAGGAAGGAGGAGGAAAAGCTGGTGGAGAGAAGAGGGGGAGAAGCTGTGGTTGGGAGAAGGAGGAACTTCGACCAGCTTTTCCCCTTCTCTTCAGGTTCCAGCCAGCATTCTCCCTTTCTTCCACCTCCTTCCTCCACCAGGCTTCATTCCTCCTCGCTTATCCCTCCTTCCTTCGTCTACACCAGCTTCTCCTCCTTCTACTTCATCCAGGCAGCCTTCTCTTCTCACTCTCCTCACTCAGCTTCCTTCTCCCCTACCTTCTCCCTTTTCTCCCTTTTCTCCACAGGTTCTCCCTTCTCCTTCTTCAACTTGTGTGGCTTCCTCCCCTCCTCCGGCTAATTTCTCCCTTTTATCCGCTCCTTTCCACCAAACGTTCTCCCTGCTCTTCTCCACACTTTTCCATGCGTCCACATCCTCCTCCGCACGGCTTCTCCCCCCTCGTCTTCCGTACCAACTACTTCTTCCTTTCTCCCCTCCTCGTTCTCTATCACTTCTCTTCTCCCTCTCCTCCTTCCTCACCAGATTGCTCCCATTCCTCCTTATCCTCCACCACATTCTCCCTTCTCCCTTACCTCTTTTCTCACCAGGTGCTTTGCCCCACCTCTCTCTATCGCACCAGCCTTCCCCTTCCTTCAGTCCACTCATTTTCCTTTCTCACCGTTCTCCCCTTTCCATTTCTATTGTTTTGTTCTCCCCTCCTCTTCTCCACCAGCTTCTCTCTGTTCACCACTTCTGCTTCTCCACCCTGCTCCTTTTCTCCCACCACCTTTCCTACATTCTCCCCTCCTCCCTTCTCTAACCAGCCTCGCTGCATTGTTGGTGTTATGGTAACAGTTGGAGTGCATTGCTGGGCGGTTTGTATGGCGTGTTCGATATGGCACTTGTTGAGAAATGGAAATGAAACAATGAAACAATTGAAATGTTCCTTAGCAGTGGGCCTATCGGCTGCTAGACTGGTTTTACCCCGAGTCCCCACCCTTCGGCTTACAGTTATCACATTCGATCAGGTTGGGATGTGAGTACAGTCTCGTATCCGGCGCAGCGACCTAGGCTTATTCGTGAAAAGAACACTTTTCAATTTTTGTTTCATTTGTCATTTCATTTTCATTTCCATTGTTCATTGTCATTTTCCATTTACTTTTCATTTCGTTTCTTCATTTCATGTTTCTATTTAATTTTTAACTTTTTTTTCCAATTTTCACTTTCATTTTCATTTTTATTTAATTTTTTAATTGTTTTATTTTTCTATATTGTTTGGCAGTCTAGGGCACATACTACTTTAACCCCATCCATGCCAGATGTAACACAGATATACCATATACTGCCTCTTATATCCTATATAGTATATTCATACTATATCTATATACGTATGATCATATGGTG